ACATGCATACTAGGCCTAAATTGCTCTTATAGCCTTTTTATTCATCCATTTCTTTGTTTTTGCACAAGCCGTCACTGGAATGCATACTTGATTAACTACGAAATTTAATCAAAAAAAAAGTAAAAAATAAAATCGAAATTAATTAACCACACGCCATGGGTGCCCGAGAGCGAAAGAGGAAAAAAAAGCGCCGAAGGCGCAAAGAAAATGAGCGGTGCAACACGAGGACTTCCCGAGAGGTCACCCATCCTAGTACTACTCTCGCCCAAGCACGTTTAACTTCGGAGTTCGATGGGATCCGGTGCATTAGTGCTCGGTATGATCGCACCCGACACCGGATGCGCTCAAGGACGGATATATCTCCCTTCGTAGGCGGCGCCGCAGCTTGCGCGGTGTCTTCCCCTTCGTACTTTCCCAAACTTCCCTCACTAATACCATGACCGCATCCCCACGTTCCTCTTGTGATCTTTATTTGTTAGCGACGCCCGGATCGATGACGTTGGCCCCGTTAATTTGATCGTGTCAATGACTAACCGTTACCGAGAAAGCATACTCGATTAACTACGAATTTAATAAAACGAAAAGTAAGATAAATAAATGAAGTAAAATCGAGATTTGGGTAAATACGAAAGGAAAGACATCGCACATCCCGTGTGACAGCCTCCGAGAGGCCGGCTCGGGACGATGGCACGCCTCTCGCCAAGACTCCGGACGACATCTCGTCGATTTAAGTATTCGATCGAAGCAAATTTTCCTATCCGAAAAGATAATTTAGAAACTTATAGTTTGGCAGATGACTTAAAAACCATCAAATATCATTTCTAACATAAAAATCCGTTCCAAAAGCCTACTTTCGGATCCTTTTATGATTCGGACATGCATACTAGGCCTAAATTGCTCTTATAGCCTTTTTTATTCATCCATTTCTTTGTTTTTGCATACATTTTGACTATCTTCGTCATATTTCTTTTCCATAAGCCGTCATCGGAATGCATACTTGATTAACTACGAAATTTAATCAAAAAAAAAAGTAAAAAATAAAATCGAAATTAATTAACCACACGCCATGGGTGCCCGAGAGTGAAAGAGGAAAAAAAAGCGCCGAAGGCGCAACGAAAATGAGCGGTGCAACACGAGGACTTCCCGGAGGTCACCCATCCTAGTACTACTCTCGCCCAAGCACGTTTAACTTCGGAGTTCCGATGGGATCCGGTGCATTAGTGCTGGTATGATCGCACCCGACACCGGATGCGCTCAAGGACGGATATATCTCCCTTCGTAGGCGGCGCCGCAGCTTCGCGGTGTCTTCCCCTTCGTACTTTCCCAAACTTCCCTCACTAATACCATGACCAGCATCCCCACGTTCCTCTTGTGATCTTTATTTGTTAGCGACGCCCGGATCGATGACGTTGGCCCCGTTAATTTGATCGTGTCAATGACTAACCGTTACCGAGAAAGCATACTCGATTAACTACGAATTTAATAAAACGAAAAGTAAGATAAATAAATGAAGTAAAATCGAGATTTGGGTAAATACGAAAGGAAAGACATCGCACATCCCGTGTGACGACTCCGAGAGGCCGGCTCGGACAAGTGGCACGCCTCTCGCCAAGACTCGGGACGACATCCGTCGATTTAAGTATTCGATCGAAGCAAATTTTCCTATCCGAAAAGATAATTTAGAAACTTATAGTTTGGCGATGACTTAAAAACCATCAAATATCATTTCTAACATAAAAATCCGTTCCAAAAGCCTACTTTCGGATCCTTTTATGATTCGGACATGCATACTAGGCCTAAATTGCTCTTATAGCCTTTTTTATTCATCCATTTCTTTGTTTTTGCATACATTTTGACTATCTTCGATCATATTTCTTTTCCATAAGCCGTCACCGGAATGCATACTTGATTAACTACGAAATTTAATCAAAAAAAAAGTAAAAAATAAAATCGAAATTAATTAACCACACGTCGCGCATGTGCCAAGTGCTAAGTGCTAATCTTTTGATTATATATATTTAATTTAACCCATTAGGTTTTGTTCTCTAGTTTGTGTTGTCTTCAAATCTTTTCAATTGAAAATTTTTACAAGAGGTTTCCTTATAAAGTGTATCTTTTTTTGTTTCTTTTCTAATATGGGATAAACTTCGCACTTGAAAACACTTTTTTCAAAATAATTTTTTTATCTATCTAGGTTATGTTTTTCCAACAGGAAGGTTATATCTTTGACTGTTCCAATGGTGATGAAATTCAACCTTAATATTTGAAGCAAACAAGAAAACACATGAATCAAACTCTGTTAGTACTTAGTAGTGTTGTCACTCACCCACAAGTAGCCTTTATAAAACTAATAACCTGAGAAAAAAGAAAGGGTTTTCTTCACAAAATGGTGTCAGACTTACAATGGATAGTTTGTCGCAACTTTGATCCTCGTGACAATGATTTTCTTCCCACGCAATTTTTCCTTAGCCATCGAAAATTCCACCGCCGGCCAACATAATCTGGTCGATATGTTCGAAAGTAACCCAACTTCCTACTTCGAGTTCACCAGGTTCCACTGAAGCCTTCAATGCGCCTTCAACTCTTAGCTCAATTGGAGCCTTGCAAGGACCTAACAGAGTCACTACGCCTAAAGCATGATCTCCTTTTGGAGTCAGAACTTTGCTGGGGCGTGTTGATGCACAAGCTTCTTTCCAGGCACTTGTTAAAGCCTGAAGTACCGTAAGATTTAACATAATCTATGTGTGTGTGTATAAAATGATTTCAAGTCAATGTTTTTGTTAGAATTCTTCTTTAATTTCTTCTGTCAAAATTTGTTATGGAAAATGAACTTCTGCTTGATCTTCCACTATGTGAATCATTTTATGGGCAGTGGACGAAGTTCAAAACCATTCTTGAATGAGTCAAGCAATTAGTCGACTAATTATATGAAAGGTCTGGGTGAGTTTCTAATTTTATGGTTCAAATTCAGTCCTATTATCAGATAGCTTTCCTTTTGTGAGCGTCCTTCAAATTTTTTAAGCCAAAAATCTTTATTTCATTAATCAATCTAACTTTCATCTATTGAAATCCAATGGGCTTCTAATAAATTATAAAAAGCCTATCTATTACATGTTATCCCACCCCATCGCAGGACAGTCTCCACATTCAAAACAAACAAACCTTAAACACGTGGTAAAGTGGGAGGTTTGCGCAATTTAATTAATGGGATGTCGTTTGCTTATGATTAATCACCGTCAGTCATTCACCTTCAGATGATAAATACGCGGTAAAGAGGAAGATTTGCGCAATACCTGTGTGTGGCCTTTAAATATTAGTCAGTTACCTTTCACGAGAAATTATTTTTTAAGCCTGATATGATAAGTTAAAATTTTTGAATTGATGTAATTATTTAATATGTTATTATAATTTTTTTTTAAAAGTCATAATTTCAAAATTTACCATATTTATTCTTTATAATTAACTAAAAAATAAATTCATACACTGTAATGGACCTCTCTACAAAATGCAGAGTTTGAACATTTAAACTGTGTTTGGTAATATAATTGAGAACGACAGTTAGTAACATATTGATATGACTTAAGATTAAGGTTTAAAGAGTATGTAATGCATTATATTTAAATATTGGGTGGTGCTTCAAACCTCCTTTATTTTAAAGTTTTTGATCATGGAAAATTTTCATCTAATTAAATTGCAACTTGAGAAATGTAAATAAATTTGTTTCTCTTCTATTTTACTTTAATACTCTACCGGAATGTCTCTTATAATTTGCATCCTTATGTTAATAATAATAATAATAAAAGTTCTATAAATCAGAGCTAATTAAGATCAAAAAGTCATTTAACTAGTTGTTTAAGTAAGTGTTTTCGGATTTGAATTCTTATATACGTAAAATACTTTTTTAGATAGTAGTATTTATTTTGTGTGTCCGAATGGAATAACAAAAAATTAATTTATTCATCATTTATATAATTTTTATATGTACATTTAAGTAGTGGAAATAATTATTTTGCATAATAATGCACTTATTCATACATAAAATATTCACCAAAGATAAAAAAATTCATTTAAGTGCATGAAATATTCTTACACATCTCTAGCAATTTTTCTATACTCATAGAATAATTTTTGTGCACATCCAAAGCACTCAAAACAATTAATTTACATAAAAAGTATTATTTATACACATAAAAAGCCTATAAAATATTCACCGACTATAGAAAAATTCACCTATATGCACAAGATATTCAAGTACCATTTAAACAATTATTCTAGAGACATAAGATAATTTTCACACACGTTTAATATATATTAATTTATTTATTTTTAGGTTCAGGATATTACTTTTCAAATTAGGGAATATCAAATGTTTTAGGACATTAGATTGCATGAAGATTGCATGAAACACTAGAAACTCAATTCTCTTCTAAACTGAAGGGAATTTCAAATGTCAAGGATTTGACATTACAAACTTTTAAAAAAAAACTTAAATGCCTCCATCTTTTATATTAACTTGTCTAATATATCCTTAGTTTTACTAATAATTACACAAATATTTTAAGTGACTAGATATATATATATATATATATATATATATATATATATAAATTTAAGCAATTAATATGTGTAGGTGACTTTAATTTAGTACCAAAATAATTTATATTATGCAATGTTGGCATATATATTATTTTACTCGATAATAGTAATTTAATAAAATTAAATTTATTGTTAGATTTATTTTAATATATTAGTTTTTTTTAAAAAAAATATAATCGATCTATATTTAAAAAAATGAATATTTTATTGTCAAATTATGTACTTTTAAATTTTAAAGGTCGAAGAGTGAACTAGTTTGCATTTCTCCTGAATTCTTAGTATAAACCAAATAAAATTAAAACATTTTTTTTAAAAAAATTATTTTCAACTAAATACAAATATTAAATTTATAAGACCACATTCTGAAGAAAAAAAAAAAAAATCTAAAATTCTGTATGCCAAACCCTCTTCCAAAAAAATGTACCTCTTTAAAACTGGAGGTGAGGGCAGCAAATCTAAGAATGAACTTGAGGTGACCTCTTTAGTTTCGCCCAAAATTAAGCGCTTACATAACAATAAATTTCTGGCCCAAACATAACCCACCATCAGCTTGCGTGCCATCCCCCTTGTAATTAATTTTCATAATTAATTAAGCAGAGTTCTGTGATACAGCAAACTATATGAGCGTGAAGTGATTTCCGACATTAGTCCTCTTAATTAGGTTTATGTTCCAAATCAAGCACGTCATTAAAAACACTTAGAATGTTAGTTTGGATCTTGCATATTGCTAAAATGTTGTTATTCTTATTATTATTAAGCTCAAATTTTTATTTTTATCAAAATGTTTGTGTATGCTAATAAATTATAGTTGAACTGCTATTAATGTTTTTTTTTAATCTTAAAATAGTTTCGAACCTCTCTCTTATAAATATAAAAAAACAGTATATAATTAATGCATTCTAGTTCGAAAAATATTCTCCTTACACACGTAAATATTACCTGTAAAAATTCCATTATATACAGAGGAAATACTTTTCTGTTAATTATGACAAGACAGTTTGTTGAATCATGAAAGTCACATGATTGAACTGCCATACCTCCAAACGTAACCATCCTTCTAATGGGGAACAGAGATATGCAGGCTCATATATAGTGCTATTGAATATAAAAAATTTGCACTAGAGAGTGGCAATTGGCATCTTGAATCAAAACAGTCGTAATCCCATGATTATACCTTCTTCAAAAGGTAATTCTAAAGTTTACTTTTTCCTATTTAAGCTATATATAATTCAAGTTTAATTTTTTTTTTACTCATGTAGTTCTCGATAAATTTTTGCACTATTGATTTCTAATTAACTTACTAGTTCTGCATTATTATTATCATTTCCTGCTTTTAGGTGTAAACGTAACTAATCTTGGTGTGTGTGTATATATATATTGTTGAATCTTGTACAAACATTAGGGTTAGACTTTAGAATTACCAGACTCTATGTATAGGGTTGGTTTATCATATGGCATAGAGGCTGAGACTATAACATTAGCACATGGATCGAGGAAAATTTCATAAAGTATATATTTACATGTCAAAAATTTGCTTAATTTGTTTTGTATCTCTTCGTTTCTTGTCAAAATCAGCATGAAATTCTGTTTTCTTCTTGAAAATGAAATGAATGAAACTGTTAATTCATCTTCCGTCGTTTAACTTCTAACATCACCCATACCTCACATGGCATGCTCAACACCACATTTTCAAATCATCTACTTGCTACGGAGCAACAAAAGCAAGCATTGGCCGAATTATTTCCATTTTTTTCTTCCATTAAATTGCGATAACTCGAATCATATTCTTACAGCTGAAATACTAAACTAAATTCCATTTTTTTTTAATGCCTTATATTTCATGAATTTTGATGAAGGCCAGAGACAATAGATTACTTCTTTCGGTGAAGAAGCTGATCGTGGGATCGCGAGACTTGGTAGCGTTGTGGGTACTGTGGCCGTGGCAGTTTGAAAACGAGTCGAAGAAAATGAGAGGGAAGCCAATTTCAGGGAAAGCAATTCTAGTTCTATGCATAGCAAGCTTTCTTGCAGGATCTCTCTTTACTGGCACGAATTGGACCCGTCCTTCTCAAGCTAAGGATAATAGGATTGCAGTCATTCCTCATCATGTCACAAAGCTGCAGGAAGTGAAGCAAGATTGTGAGCCCAAGCGTGTAAGTAAGCTAGTTCACAGTATAAACAACACGCACAGCCTAAAAATTTCTATTTCCCTTAAAAAAAGGAAAAAAAAAAAAAAGCTACCTATAATTCCATCCCTAATTACAATATCACATATATATTTCATGTGATTCATGCATGCGTTACGCACGATTTTGAAAGGAATGATGAACAAAACAAAAATGGTTAGCAAAAATACTCCACACTCTATCTCTCACTCTATATAGATGTATAATTATGTAAAAACAAAATCAACTCAGATTTTAATCAATGACATCATGGTAAAAAAAAAATTACGTACAGCAGTCCAATGAACTTGTGATTAACGATTTAACGTTCAACATATATATACATGTCCAGTGGGCATCACGAGTTAAATTAATTGTGGATTTTAGCTATAAATAAATAAATATTGTGTGTTCTAAATTTTGCATTGATTCATCCATTTATTTCTTTTACAAATTAATTAATCAGAGATTGGTTGAAGGCAAGCCTGGCGATATTATGGGAGAAGTTCAGAAAACCCATGATGCTATAAAGTGAGTCAATTCCTTACCTGTTTTAGTTCTTTTTAATTTCTTTTAATAAAAATAATTCAATTGCAACATCTTTTTTCTTTATTTTATTTTATTTTATTACTGTGCAATAATGCAGATCTCTTGAGAACACAATGTCCACTTTAGAAATGGAATTGGCTGTGGCTCGTACAGGTCAATCAAATGGGCAGCGACATAACTCACTAGAAACTCTTGCTAATCACACTTTACAAAAAGCTTTTGTCGTGATTGGAATTAATACCGCATTTAGCAGCAGAAAACGCCGGGACTCACTTCGACGAACTTGGATGCCAAAAGGTCCTCTCTCGCTGCCTCTTCACTTTCTCCTAATTTATTACATTAATATACAAGAAGAGCACTGTTAAATTTGCTGATTTTCCTCTTTTACTGTCTGAATCAGAACTCACATTAACATGTTTGATATATAATATAGTCACATAAAAATAAAGGAATTCACCCGGATCAAAAGAAATAACAAATTTACAAATACAGCAATCTACTAGTAATTTCATAATTTGGGCTCATCTACTTTTAGGCAGTTTTCTTGTTCTTGGGCCGAAATGAGAAGATTTTAGACAATTGAAATTCAAGGCTCAATTTTACTTTTTGGCAGAAAAAATAGGGCAAACCTCAAATCGGCTTCCAAACAACTCAAATCTAAGTGTCGATTTTGGGATGGAGGTACTTGATTGAGAATTTTTAAAATTTTGGGATTCAATTGTGATACAAAATTTGTTTGAGGGCTCAATTGAAACTCCCCATATAGCTAGGGTACTTATTTGAGATTTTTCCTAAATATATATATATATATATGAGAAAACCACCCTCAAATTATACATACCATATATACTATAACACAGGGAAATACCCTTTTTTTTAAAAAAAAAAAAAAATCAGGTTAATTTCCAACGTTTATATTATTTACCCATCCACTAGGCGTGTGTAATTAAACTTCATCGAATTATTACTTTTCTTTATTCGAAAGGGAAGGGTTTAGTATTTCTTTTTAAATTTTCAAGGAAGGGTTATTATTCCAATCATGCAGTCTATATAGCAATCAAAACTTTCTTTGAAAGGAAAACAGATATAAAGTGAGGTTATAAATAATATATTTTACTTCAACAAGGAAAATATATAGACATGATTGTTTCACCTAGCATTCAATTAACGAATTAATATACTAAAAAAGTATATAATTAATTAATGCAGGTGACAAGTTAAAGAAATTGGAGAAAGAAAAAGGAATTGTGATACGGTTTGTGATTGGACACAGTGCCACACCTGGCGGTGTTCTTGATAAAGCAATAGACTCTGAGGAAGCAGAATATAAGGATTTTCTCAGGCTCAATCATGTTGAAGGATACCACGAACTCTCTACCAAGACAAGATTGTATATTTCCACTGCTGCTTCAATCTGGGACGCTGAGTTCTACCTCAAGGTGGATGATGATGTTCATCTAAATTTAGGTAATTAAAATAGCAGCTGCTTCTTCTCCAACTTTTGAAATTGATACATGCATCTTTTTTTCCTCACTAGCTAGAAATTATCAAAGAACATTCTTAAACTATTTTTAATAAATTTTTTTTCTGATCATATCATGTTTAACGTGTCCTTAATTTAGGCATGCTAATGAGTACACTTGCAAAATACCGGTCCAAACCTAGGATCTACATTGGATGCATGAAATCTGGGCCAGTTCTCTCTCAAAAGTAAGTTAATTGTATTTATTTTTGTTATCCTAACGAACAGGCTGAAAATGCCAGCAGGCTGTATCTCTAAACGAGCGTGTCTTATTAATTAGTAGATTCACTTCATATTTTATCGTTTTTTCTTCTTCTTTTTTCCGGTTTAAAGTGATAGAACAATTTTGTTCTGCTGCAGAGAGCAAAAATATTATGAGCCAGAGTTTTGGAAATTTGGGGAAGATGGAAACAAGTACTTCAGGCATGCCACAGGCCAACTGTACGCCATCTCTAAGGACCTTGCTGCCTATATCTCCATCAACTCGTGAGTTCCATCTCTAGAAGCCTAAGTTTTTCCTCATTGGGTGCGCATGAGTCGAAGTTGTGGTTAATTGATGAAATATTTTTGCAGGCCCATATTGCATAGATATGCCAATGAGGATGTCTCTTTGGGCTCTTGGCTTCTAGGCTTGGAAGTGGAACATGTGGATGAACGTTCCATGTGTTGTGGAACACCTCCAGGTACACAGATTAATTCTTGATTGGTCAATCTAGTCATTCCGTAACGTTAACAAGCATAATTAACGAGAAATTGAAATTTTAACAAATCAATTTTGATTTAATGTTTCTCATTTCTAAAAACTTCTTGCTAGGATCGGAAAAAAGGTAGATAATTAAATCCATTTAAATGTTCCCAACAGTAAAATGATAGCTATCTTTCTCTTTTAATTTATTATATATCACCCACTTCAGTACGTATATATGTCACGATGGTCCAAATAGGAATACATATTTTCTTCTTGGAAAAAACGTAGCCATATTATTTTCTTCTTAATAACAACTGCGTTTACACTTTTCAAATATTGTTGTCAGTAATGATAATGAATTGGGCCTAAAACTAATATCTACTTTATTCGATCTAATAAGTATTCATTAAAAATATTCAATGAGTATTGAAGTGAATAAGTCTAAAAAAATATATACATATTAACATGATTTCAGAATATGAATACATACTATTTACCCTATTAATAATCACTATTTTATTTTATTTTTTATTAATGATTTAATTGCATAAACTTTAAAAATTAAGGATTAAAATATTTTTTTAAAGAACTTTGAGGACCAAAAAAATTATAAATAAATGATCAAAATGCAAAAATAACTACATTTTACGAGACAAAAAAACCTTTCTTGAAAATTTAGAAATTAAAATGAATATTTTTGATAAATTATTTTTTACGGATATTAAATGAGTATTAAATGAGTTGATACATGAATGTGGATTGAGTATGAATGACTAAAAATTTATATGATGATTTTTTTAATAGATAATAAATATGATATTTTTTTATAGGTAAAATAAAAAATTGAATTAATGAATTTTGTACCGTCCATTGCAATCCCTAATTGTTGTCATGGATATTGCTGGGTGGTACTGGGTGTATTTGAATATAACTTGCATATATAACTCAATCCAATTAGTTTTTGCATATATATCTTTTTTTTTTTTTGCATATAAAGTTTTTGCATGTTTTTAATTTTAAAGTAAAAAGAGAACCATCAGTTTACTTGATCCATAATTTTAGTCTTCATATACATATACAATCGCCCTATACTAATTGTAAATTATAATAACATTATATTTGTTGTTAGATTGTGAATGGAAAGCACAAGCAGGGAATGTATGCGTGGCGTCATTTGACTGGTCATGTAGCGGAATATGCAAATCCGTAGAAAGAATGAAAATGGTGCACAATTCTTGCGGAGAAGGAGAAGGAGCTATTTGGAATGTTGATCTTTAAGTTGTAATTTAGCAGTATGTTGACTTGCTTGAATAGTATGGCAGAGAGAGAGAGAGAGAGAGAGAGAGAGTTAAAGGGAGATATAATACCTAAAATATACTACAACTTCTTTGTTTGTTTTTTTTGAGTAATGCTGGATTTGTGCAGAACAATGCCTCCTTTTATCATGTTTGAGATATTCATACCACATGATCAAATAAATTTCACTTATATGCTATTTTGTTAAATACACTGTGTTATCTCTCAAATTTATTCAGAATCTAAAGTTAATAAATTAGATGCAAGAGTTGAGAAAAGCCCACCAAATAATTGAAATAAAAAAGGCTTGTTTAATCTTATTTAAGACCCATCAAATTGAATCCATCCAAAAGACAAGTCTAACCAAATAGGCCCAATATGTATGTGACGCCCAATTCACATCGGAGGATTTAGTCCATTACTCCAAATTGAAATATCGGAGCTCTCTCCAAGAATAATAAAAAATGGAGTCTAAAGCAAGATATAACGTGAAAACCTCATCCGAAAAGAGACAGATGGCTATTAACTAATGTACGGATAGTTAAGAGAATAGCAAATTTCCAAGTAATAATAAAACACGACCCTAAACAATTAGGAGGAATGTAGAAATTATAGCATAGAAGAACAATAGAGAGGGAGAGAGTGAGCGAGAGAGGGACAAGGAGGGAGGGAGAGAGAGAGAAAGAGAAACGAGAGAGAGAGGGAGAGAGAGAGGATAGAGAGAGGGAAAGAGGTTGAGAGGGGGAAGAGAGAGGGAGAGAGGTAAAGAGAGATGAAGAGAGTGAGAGGGAGAGAGAGGAAGAGAGAGGGAGAGACAGACAGAGAAATGAAGATAGAGTGAGAGAGGAGGGGAGAGAGAGGGAGATCGAAAGAGAGGGAGAGAGAATTAAGAGAGAGGGGGATAAAGTGTAGAAAAGAGCGAGGAGAGAGAGAGAGAGGGAAAGAGAAGGAGGGTAAAAGATGGGGAGAAAGAGAGAGAGGGAGAGTGGGGGAGAGGAAGAGAGAGGGAGAGGGAGAGAGACAAGAAGAGAGTGAGAGGGAGAGAGGAGGAGGGGGAGAGAGAGAGGGAGGGAGGGAGATAGTGAGAGATGGGAAGAGAGGGAGGGAGAGAGAGGGAGAGATAAAGAGAGGGGGTGAGAGAAGGAGTGAAAGAGAGAGAGAAAGAAGGAGAAAGATGAAGAGATGGGGAGAGAGAGAGAGTGAGGGAGAGAGCGAGAGGGAGAAAGAGAGTGAGAGAGGGAGGAAGAGATAAGAAGGGGGAGGAAGAGAAAAAAATGGAGAGAAAGGGCGAGAAAGAGGAAAGAGAGGGAGAGGGAGAGAATGGGAGAGAGGGAGTGAGAGAGAAAAAGGAGAAATAGAGAGGAAGAGAGAGAAATTAAGAAAGATAGAGAGAGAGTGAGGGAGAGATAAAGGAAGAAAGAGGAGAAATAGAGAGGAAGAGAGAGAAATTAGGAAAGACAGAGAGAGAGTGAGGGAGAGAGAAAGGAAGAAATAGGAGATAGAGAGAGGAGAAAGATGGATAGAGAGAGATAGGGGAGAGAGAGAAAGACCGAGGGAGGTAAAGAGTGGAAGAGGTGGAGGAAGGGAGAAAGGAAAAGAGGAAGAGAGAGAAGAGAGAGAGGGAGTGGTAGAGGGAAAGAGAGGGAGAGAGAAAGAAAGAGAGGTAGAGAGAGAAAGAGAGAAGAAGAGAGAGAGAGTGAAATAGATAGAGATAGAGAAAGAGAAAGAGAGGAAATGAGGGAGAATGAATGAGAAGGAGAGAGAAAGAGAGCAAAAGAGAGAGAGGGAGGGAGAGTGGGAGAGAAAGAAAGAGAGAGATGGAGAGACGGAGAGAGGGAGAAAGGGAGAAAGAAAAAGAGAGAGGGAGAGATAGGAAGAGAGAGAGAGAGAGAGGTAGGGAGAGAGAAATAGGAGTGGGAGAGAGGGAAAGGGAGAAAAAAGGGGACGGAGGGATTGAGAGAGAGAGGGAAAGTAGGCCGGCCGCAAGACCGAGTAGAACCATATGCCGGATGTGCCCACGAGGCACGAGCCAATTGCTCACACGCCAAGTGCTATAGGCTAGCTAGGCTCATACACCGGATGTGCAGGCCAAGTGCTCTTACATTAGGGGTTGCGAGCTAGGCCACACGCTAGGTGAGTAGGCCGGGCGTTAGCACGCGAGCTAGGCATGCATGCAATGCCACCGGTCGGTGCTCATGCGTCGGGCGACTAACCATGGGCAAACATACACGAGTGCACCAAGCTAAGGGTTTAGGCATCGAAGCTTGTAGGCCCTCGAGGCCCAAAAGCCCATAGGCCTAAAGTGGGCCTAAAGCCCAAAAGTTTTAAAATTAGAAGATAGGAATTAGAATGGATGCAAGGAGAAGATGCCAAGAAATGAAGACATTCCCGAATAATTTGTAATAATTTTTTACTTAGGTGTTTGACCCACTAGTCCTCTTGTGGCTTAAGGGGACTAATATTACGGATCAATTACCATTCATCGATCCTTGTGTCATGCATGAGATGTATATATATTATACGACCGATGTTATTATACAAGTTAGGAATAATATGATTATTTATAAGTATGCATGTTAGGATGAGACCAACCAAATTAAATCCTTCCAATAAAATATTAAGTTAATTGCCTTCCAACGTTATGAGGAGGAAACTCTCTTGATCACCGTTAGCTTGTTGAGATAACTCATGGTCAATTCTTCCTCGAGGGACACAACAAGATAAATGCCATTTAGCAACGGACGTACCCGTTGCTAAATAAAAAAAATCGTTGCTAAAAATTTTAGCAAGTAATTAGCGACGGTCAAGTAATCGTCGCTAAAAACCTCATCGGTATTTTTTAGCAACGGTTTGGACCGTTGCAAAATTAGCGACGGTCCTAAACGTTGCTATTCCATCGCTAAATGTCGATGTAAACGAGTTATGAAATTAGCGACGATCTTGTAAACCCTTGGTATGCATGTTGCTAAATAGAGACGGACTAGCGACGGTCCGGACCGTTGCTAAAGTATTGGTAACGGTCTAATATTTTATTTTTAGAGACGGTCTAGATCGTTTCTAAGACCGTCGCTAATTTAAAAAATATATATTTTTACGAGCTATAATAAAATGAGGTAAAAGTAACAATTTTAAAATAACAAAAATCTCATAAAATATCATAAATGTAAATTTTTATTATTCGAAATGTATTAAAACGTCGCTAAACAATTAAATTATTGTTAAATAATAAAAAACAAGTACATCGATTGCGGTTAATACAAGAAAACGAGAAAAGCTAAAATAACTTAATGTCCAGGATCGGTCGGAGGCTAGGTGGAGTCGTTCGGAGGTTGGGTTGCGTTGTCGTCGATCTCGGGAATGGCGAATGAACTACCACCATGCTCAAAATGCTGCATGAACATTTACCGCATCCGTGACATCATCGTATATTGCTATCGACTATAGGTTCTCAACTCATTTATCGTATTCAATAACGATACAACTTGGCCCCGTAGGTCGTTGATAATACCCTCTAAGTTGTTGATATGCGTCGTGTTTGTAGATGTTTGCTCCCGTAATTCCTTCAACCGTGGCTCGTCACTCGTATTGAATTTAGAAGTAGTAGAAGATGAGGCTGCATTGACGGATGAATAGTAGTAAGATGCATGTGACCCGAGTCCGTACATCCTCTTCCTCCTACTATCTCCTCTTCCAACGACCCTTTGAAAGATGTCATTAATGTTGGGTGTGGTAGCTTCGGTCCCTCCCAATCGTCGGCTAGTAACCTCTTCCTCATTAATTAATCTCCGGAAGGTCTTCCGTATAATGATGAAACACATCATATCAAATACGTATGTCAAATAACGTTATTAACTAACGGATATTAAATAATGTTTCAAAGTTATCACTTACTTCAATAACCCTCAATCGTTGATCGACGAAGACTAACCGATCATTAACCTTTCTTTGATGAGTCCTCAAGAAAACCTCGTAAGGATCGAGTTCACGACCTAACACATTCGTTGAAAACATATATAAATAAACATAAATATATTAAATATAGTCAAATGTTTAATTATTTATTTTGGGTATTATTTTTTAAAAAATTATAAATAAATAAATTAATATATATTTTTTACCATGCGTATGGCGTGCTCTCTATGGTTGATTGATCCCCTCGTATGTCTAGAAGGACTAGCTCCGACTCCACTAGTCTCGCTCCTATGGTTCCGTGCTTGCCATCTCGGATCGAGCAACGGCCTCGGGTTTCGTCCATTCCGTAGTCCATGCATCTCATATTTCTTGTGAGATATATATCGGCTTCGGTTTTTTCCTTAGACGACAAAGGAAGTCGAATATCGCTTCCGTGCAAGACTTTCTCATGCTTTCTTAACTATGCTCTCGTTCAAATCATCATTCCACTTAAATAATTTCGCAAAAAAAAAAATAATAATAATAAACACTACTAAATTTATTTTCATATTATTTTATGTAATTTAATTAAATATTAAATAATATAATTAATCAAATAAAATTTAGAAATTAGAATCTTAAATTCTTCCCGAGTAAAAATCTTTTATCTCTCGGACTCATTTTTTTCCACATCCATCCCGAAATATGAACATACTCTTGGAATGTCTTAACGATCGAGCGAGAGCAAACATCGGAGGGATACAACCTACAAAAAAATAAACATTAATTAAATTCATAAATAATCGAGTACATAATAACAATAAACAAAAAATATTTAATTAAATTAAACATAAACTCGTACTTATTGCGTCCAACGACAATGACCCGTACTCGATGGTCAACCGCGGATGTTATTGGTTCCAAAGTCGATTGATGCGGGACATTATGGGGTGGAACGAAACGGTTGTCCCGATGTGATGACGAAGGCACTAACGATGAAGACGAAAAAGATGAGGGAGGTTGACGTGGAGGTTCATAATACGGAAATGGCCGAGGCCGAGGCCGAGACATGACGAGCATGGAACGAGATG